AAGAAGTTAATCTATTATCCAGCCCATAACAATCTTCGCCTCATGATTTTTGCCAATAATAAAAACGTTATTGCCTCGATTCTTGATTGCGACACACTCTAGCCTCGGCATACCATCGATTTGAACGCGTTCCCAATTTTTTTTTACGGGACAGAATATATTCATATATTCGTTTTTTTCGGTATCATTGTATTTTCGAGATCCACCTAAAATGATTATTTTACGACGCATAATAAATATGGCTGCTCCACACCTTCTCCCGGGGCCTATACCACTCGTCGGTATCCAATCTTTTGGAAGACATAAACGTGATGACGGCGGTGCTAGGTATTTTCGCCAAGTGTTTTTACAACTATCATAAACCCACATATCGTCGTCATCGTGAATGGATGTATCTAGAGAGTGTAAGGTAAGGTGTTGGCCGCCATAAATGTATAGTAACCCATTGATCACACCACTCGTGTGGAGAGACCTTGGGTAGGGAAGGTTAGAACTCTGATCGTATTTGATCCAAATATTTTTATCAACGCTATAAATGAAGATGTCTTTTGTATCATAAAGTTCATCTTGTAGATAATAAAGCACGAACATGGAATAACACACAAACGTTGATATAAGAGAGCATATAAATAAATACGATCGGAGTTTTAAGAACAATAAAGCGCAATATTATCTTTCTCCAAATACACTTACTTCCATGCGTCATACAACGTCCTCCAAAAAGTATTATATGACCACTATCTACAGGGTCAAAAGAATGCATTAATCTTGGAGTAGGATAATTTCCATTTACAATAACCTTACATAAATTCATGGTCCGTATATCTAGCTTATACATTATATTAGTTGGTTGCCCCGTTAATATACTTTCACCACCAAACATATAAATCTCATTTTTTATTGCGGCACCAGCGGTAGATCTAATCGGATGATATTCTTTACGATTCATTGAAATTAAAATAGGGACTTGCATCCAACTGACCGTACTTTGGGTAAAATCTAGAATCCAACACATAGGTGCATTTTCAGTAAGAACAGCAATATAAAATTTTCCTTCGATAAGAACGCCATCTCGATAATTTGAGATTGGTGGGGCGATAATTAAATCATTAGTTATATCTTTCCAGATTGGTGAATTAACGCCAAAATGAAAGATCCTTGCAGCACGACGAAGCTGTCGGCATGATTTCGAAAGATTTTGTAGGTCTCTGGCATTTAAATAGTCTATTATGATGTCAATTGTTTCAATTGGCATTGTCAAAAGACCTTCTTTGGTGGGAAGGATAGATTTCATGGTAAAAAGGAACGCATTTACTGAAAAGGAATTTCTTTAATAAGAACAGCTCCTTTGGTCTTTGTAAGAAAACTAATTATACGTAAGGGAGAGCATATTCATCTCACAAGTAAATGAAACGATATAGAGAACTATTCTAATTCTTTCCCTTCATACATTATCATTTTATGGGTTGTATTCATTCTATACTTGGAAAAATGTAACTGATAACATTTTACTAATTTACCATTTTGGGCAAAATAAAATTCGTTAAACAAATAATATTAATATATATTATAGCAAATCGGTAAATTTTACTTTGAAATTTATAAACTTAAATATTCAATTGTATAAATGTGATTTTTATATTTATGAATTCATAATTGTGTGATATCACATTAATCGATGAAAGATCATGAAGTACATAGAATTACGTGGAAATAATGTATACATAGAAAACAGACAAGCATGGAAATTCTACGTATGTGTATTGCAAATCAGTTCTAGGCTGACGTTAGCTGACGTTAAGTGAAATCAACACGCGGTACGAGCCAAACTAAAATAGTCGCTTTTGTTTTTTTTTTTTTTTTGTTGTTGTTGCCAAGCATCTTAAACTGCCAAAATTTTTGATATAAATTTCATCCATTCGCGTTTCGATGCAACGGGAACAATAATACCATTATTAAATCAATTAGAACTTTAAATGGTAATGGTAGATAACCCATTGTCTGTTGTGATTTTTATCATAAAAGGCATTTAGATGCTCTTTCAAAGTAGTCGACATTATAGTATTTTTAGCACAGCCACAAGAAAAAAAATCTTGATGTAGAACACGCAGCTATTAAATAAACTTTATTTAAGGTTAGCGCAAATTGTTATTTTTTTTTATAGCAGTCCAATGATAACAAGCATAATAATGGACATAAAAAGCAAACCGCCCCTGTATAATAAATACTAGATAACTGGGCTCTGTCCCGAAATTTCGGTGTCCTGGTGATTGGTCGCATCACGTCATACTTACCGTGATATCCAGTATTAGTTTCCAGGATTCGTTCTAAAATGCACGATCTTGGATACTGGATACTATGATAATTGTAAAAACTAATAAGACCTACTACACTGGCGATCATAAGTAGTGCAACAAAAAAAAATTTTTACTTAGATCGCATTATTTCCCGCAATTCTGGGTGTA